TAATCAGAGAAGAGGGTCGGTATTCATAATACGAGAAGAGGGTCGCTATTCATAATGCAAAATCGGGGTCGTTATTCATAAGGGTCGCTATTCATAATAGGAGTAGAGGGTCGCTATTCATAATACGAAATGAGGTTCGCTATTCATAATAGGAGAAGAGCTATTCATAATAGGAGTAGAGGGTTGCTATTCATAATACGAAATGAGGGTCGCTATTCATAATAGGGTCACTATTCATAACATGAAATGAGGTTCGCTATTCATAATAGGAGAAGAGGGTCGCTATTCATAATATGAAATGAGGTTCGCTATTCATAATAGGAGTAGAGGGTCGCTATTCATAATACGGGATGAGGGTTTTTATTCATAAAATGAAATAGGCCTAAGTAATATCCAAAATGCTCATAACAAATGGAAATATTGGACGGAGGACACCCCCAAGGCGACACATTGCCCTGAATATTTGAAATTTGTTATCCAATGTTATAAACATAATTGAGAATTTAAATCAATAACATTTGAATCATGAAACATCCTCAAGCTCACCTCCCCTCCCCCTCCCCCCCCCCACACACCCGCCGCCTTCGCCTTTATGATGACGACTCGGACATTCAGGTAGCGGACCTTAATATTTATTTTCGGGGGGGGGGGGGGGGGCTGAGGTGGTTTCCTTATAATATATATGGTCTTGTCACCAAAGTAAATTTTCTTAAGTTTGACTATCAGTTGAGGGGAGGGGGGGGGGGTTCGCACAAGGGGGACAAATTACGATAGGATTATGTGTGTGTTATGTTTCCCTTTTTTTGTCACCACTGGAGCGGGGGAAATATATTAGCTAGATTAGGGGGGTGTCAACTATTTTCGTCTTCCTTCCGACCATCATGACTACACTTTATGCTCTAGTCAAAGCTTAAAAGAAAATATAGGCCTACTTTAAAAAAAGACATAATAAAGGGGACGCCACCGTTTGCATAATGCTTTACGGTCGCAAAATCGTATCTTATTTGACTTTAAATCTTGAAAATCTTACTTCCTTACTTATGAGGAGAAAAACAAAATCGTGCAATATTATATATTTACGAAAAGCTTGAATATTGTATATAATCTAACTCTCTACAACCAGAAGCGTCGCTAAGGGGGGGGGGGGGGTGTGGGGTGCAACAACCCCACCTGTCAAGATATTGTCGGTAAAATTGCGCTGCTGTCGGGAAATATGAGAAAAGGGGGAGGGGAAAAAGGAGAGGGAAAGGGAAAGAAAAGAAAAGAAAAGGAAAAGAAAGGAAAGAAAGAAACGAGAAGAGAAGAAAGGAAGAGAAAAAAGACAAAGACGAAGGAGAGGAAAGAAAGGAAAAGGAGAAAAAAAAGAGAGAGAGGGGTATGTTTGGTGGAGTCGCCACGTCGAGGGAGCAAGAAAGATACGCATAGATAATTTTGTTGCTGTGTCGGGTCCGCTGTGTCGGTATTCTTGCTCGATCTTCGTATACTATATTTATGTAGAAGTTTGAAGTCGGTGAGATGTATTATGTCGGTAATTTTTTTCCCCTACGAAGTGTGACTTTTTATCGGATAAAAAAACATTTTTGAGAATTCAGACAATGATTAGTAGTCGCCCGAATCGTCCGAATCGTCTTCTTTGTCTAATATTTTAATGAAACGTTAAAGCTTCCGCGCTTTAACGGGTTATTTTCGTTTCTTTTTTTTCTTCATTTTCTGAATGCATTTCATGTACTAATGTAGATGAAATGAAATGAATGAATGTTGATGATGTGGGAGGAAAAAGGAGTTACCTAAAAGTCATTTCGAATATACAGAAATAACTTTCCATCTATCACTGTACGTCCCATATAATGTACACTAAACACTCATTACATGTCGTGGGAAGTTTTAAAAAAAAAGGAGAGCAGCAAGCCACATTCCCCAATACGCGCATACCTCCTAGTTAATTTCAAACAGCTCATCAATATGTAAGACCTGAATTGACCTCAATGCAAGCAAACACATGCATCTTACTAGGTTAACCATCTGCAAGTAAAGCATTATAAAATGTACTAGGTCATCATGGAAGTTCTAGAAAACAACAGGGGAGGGATCAAAATAAGCTTTGTAGGGCACTTATACGGGGAAAATGAATTCAGACAAGGATTAAGAGTAGTGAACGGTACAACGAATCGTCTTCTTTCTCTAATATTTTAATGGAACGTCAAAGCTTCCGCGCTTCGCACGGGAAGGGGGGGGGGTGAAAATAATTTAGCTCCTGGCCCCGGATTTATAGGGTTAAATTTGTAGACATTGGGAGATTGGCATATTATGTTAATATATAAATGGTAGCTATTTTTATCAGTATTCGGTGGCCTCTTCACCCCCCCCCCCCCACCTCAAACTGAAAAAGGTCTAGCGACGCCCCTGCCTACAACCCCCTTTTTGTCGCTTCCATCCTTTGCTGAAGGTAAGGGACATGATAGATCAACCCCTTGATGGCAACACTGCTACACCCCAACTGCACCCCCCCCCCGTGACACACAAACAGTCTACGCCATCTATGAACTAATTGGACGAGAATTGTCAGTAATATGTACTTGTACCACGGAAATACTGCAGGGAGGGTAGGCCGAATGGTCGGACTGATGGGGGGTGGGGGGGGGGGGCACGCCTTTTTCTTTTCTTTTGTTCAGAAATGTTTTCAATAAATGTTTTCTACAAATATTCGGGGCCATATGGCCCCCTCCCGCCTACGCTACAGCCGTGGGGTATCCCCTATCCATTATTTCGCCTACTGATGTTTATTGCTTATTTAATTTACCCTCCCGCCTACGCTACAGCCGTGGGGTATCCCCTATCCATTATTTTGCCTACTGATGTTTATTGCTTATTTAATTTACATTTTTTTATGAATAGCTACCCTTATACCGTATTATGAATAGCGACCCTCATTTCGTATTATGAATAGCGAACCTCTAGTCGTATTATGTATAGCGAATCTCATTCTTTATTATGAACAGCGAACCTCTAGTCCTATGATGAATCGCGACCCTCATTTCGTATTATGAATAGCGACCCTAACTCTATATGATGAATAGCGACCATCATTTCCTATTATGAATAGCGACCCTCATTCCGTATTAGGAACAGCGAACCTCTACTCCTCTTATGAACAGCGAATCTCTACTCATATTATGAATAGCGACCCTCATTTCGTATTATGAATAGCGACCCTCATTTCATATTATGAATAGCGACCCTAATTTCGTTTTATGAATAGCGACCCTCTACTCCTATTATGAATAGCGATCCTCTACTCCTATTATGAATAGCGACCCTCTTCTCCTATTATAAATAGCGACCCTCATTTCGTATTATGAATAGCGACCCACTTCTCCTATTATGAATAGCGACCCTTATTTCGTATTATGAATAGCGACCCTCTTCTCCTATTATGAATAGCGACCCTCTTCTCCTATTATGAATAGCGACCCTCATTTCGTTTTATGAATAGCGACCCTCTACTCCTATTATGAATAGCGACCCTCTACTCCTATTATGAATAGCGACCCTCTTCTCGTATTATGAATAGCGACCCTCATTTTGCATAATGAATAGCGAACCTCATTTCGTATTATGAATAGCGACCCTCTTCTCCTATTATGAATAGCGAACCTCATTTCGTATTATGAATAGCGATCCTATTCTCCTATTATGAATAGCGACCCTCTTCTCCTATTATGAATAGCGAACCTCATTTCGTATTATGAATAGCGACCCTCTTCTCCTATTATGAATAGCGACCCTTATTTCGTATTATGAATAGCGACCCTCTTCTCCTATTATGAATAGCGACCCTCATTTCGTATTAGGAATAGCGACCCTCTTCCCGTGTTATGAATAGCGACCCTTATAAGTAATGAACCTTATTTCGTATTATGAATAGCGACCCTGATTTCATATTATGAATAGCGGTCCTTATGATTAACGACCCTTAATATGAATTATGAATAGCGACCCTCATCTCACGTTATGAATAGCGGTCCTTATGATTAACGAACCTTATTTCTTTATGAATAGTGACCCTCTTTTGCCATTATGAATAGCGGACCAGGAAGTACGGGATTTTACACGTTATGAATAATGGTCCTTATGAATAGCGGACCTTATAAATAGCGGTCCTTATGAATAGCGAATAGACCCCATACGATCGGCATCTGATGACAGCGACAGCGAAAATGACTTAAAATTGCCCGATCTTTTTTAATGAGATCGAATAAGTAAGTTTGAAGATTCGATAGTTAACAGTGTGAATTATGGTACATACAAGAAAACCAATACCGGCATGAGAATCTTTCAATCGTCGTTCCACAGTTTTATGGACCCAATCACAATTATTATTTTCACAAATTTCCCATAACTTAGACATCCCTATATTGTCCGGGTTCAGCCTGATTTTTTTCAACCAAATGAAGGCGATTGATAGGTATTCTCCTTAAAGAGTAATTGTACAGTGTACATATTACCAGAAACCTTATCTTTTCCACTATGTACAATCCTACACCAGAAGTTTATCATTCTGCTTTCGATATATTTCTCAAGTTTCAGCCTCCAAGTACCATTCAAACTGCAGTTGTTTTGCACGCAGAAAAGGCTTGCTTACAACATTTCCTGTGGAAAATTTCAAGATCATGTTTAGCACTTTAAATTCCCATATCTCACTTCTATAGAGCAGATCAATAGACAACACAAGTTGATCAAATAATTCCAAGAGGATATCAATAGGTCAATGCAATTAACTATACATTGCTCGTCTAGCTTGATTGAGTCGCTTCAATTCAATTCAATTCAAAGTTTATTCAATACTCTTCATAAAAACATTTAAAACATACAAATACAGAATGGAGTTATAAATATAAAAAGACACAAGAAAGTGATAACAAATACAATGGCAATTTATAAGAGCATTTGGGATAGGCAGAAAGGAGGGAAGTTCCTTATATAAAAGCCTACCCCTAAAAACACACATACATGAAAACGAGAACAAAAGAACAGAACAAAAGAACAGAACAAAAAACAAAGAACATATTAAAACTTACTATCATGCACGATCAGAGTATATAAAACAAATGTCAAAAATTGGCCGATACTATTGATACTGATTATTATACTTGTTTAACAGAAATTGTTTATATTTGATTTTTTGATTTTTTAAATGTTGAAATGTTTCGAACTTTACAACGAGAAATACAACAACTTTGGTTTTAGCTGTGTTGCCTTGAAGAAACCATTTTAACAACAATCAGATACCAGATCAAGAGCAAGTTGAAGATCACTTTCAGTTTACACAAGAACTATTGTATCGTCTGCATACAGTAATGTCAATATTTGTTGACAGGGCTAGATATAAGTCTCGCACTTTCATTTCCTATCCTAATGAATACACACACACACACACACACACACACCCACACACATACGTGTATAGTATACATATATTGAATTGAAAAGATAGAAGATTAACAATTCTAATCAATTTTTGTATTTATTCTACAATTAAGCCTAAAGCATGATTTTTATTTAGGATCAATTTACTAGTCATCTTCTTTCTCATCAAATATACCTTTCATCAAAATCGATAGTGTTTCGTTGATATGATATCCGAATGCTTTGTAATCAAACGAATAGTAGGCCGATATTCTTTTAAGAAAACTGAGGGATATTTCTGAATATTCTCTGATCAATGCGTTAGAAGCGTGTGACTCATGCACTGGGGGGAATGATATCAGGTTATCTACCCCAAGCCACTTGAGAACAAAGGGTCCTTCGACTGCCAGGTTCTCATAGTGACCAATGAAGTCGTAGTGGATTTGACAAGGGTTTGACACCACGTGAAGGGGAAGCCAATGGTCATTGAGTTCACCCATGTAGATATTGCTTCCGATGTCCGTAATATATTGAATATATTCTGACAAGGTGATATTCATCCACGGTTTGATTATTTCATCTTTATATCTTTCTACATGGTTATATCCTCGGTACCTTTTCACGATTGACTCTCCGATAAATTGTTCCCAAATCCTCTGGTTTCCTTTAAAATTCCTTAACTTACTAAGGTAGCCAGACAACATTCGGGTAATTGGCTCTCGAACAAATAAGACTTTCCTGTAATTCTGTAGGCGATAGTAAATTTCAGTATGATTGTCGCCGAAATTCCTCAAAGTGTTTATTTTTGCTAAATCGTTTTTATGTTTCCTATGTAGCTTTCCAATGATACCCTTCCACGTGGTACATCCGACCTTTGGAATGAAACCGAAGAGGACCTTATACTTGTCATCAACCAGGAGATGCCCCACGCTCTTAAAGACACTGCCTTCAGTATGGTCTAGATCGATTTGGCGGGACATATTAGCAGCTGTGCATGCCTCTTCGATTAGTGCCCGTCGTCGTTTCTGTTCGACCATCATGTTTGCGTAATCGGTGGCTTCCTCAAACGACCTCGGCTCGGGTGGATTGAAGACGATGTTTTTCTGGAAATAAGCAACAATAGATGACAGTCTTGTTTTGAGCTCATAAAAATTAGGACCAGCTAAATTGGAGAGCAAGACATTTATGTCATTATGCCTTAATTTTCTTATGCATCCAAGTATACCACACATAAATGATGAAGGGTCTGGATTCGGTGAAAATGAGTCTTTCCTACTGCATCTTTATAGGTGATTCAGAACCAAGTAGCTTTGCAAGCTGCACTAAAAAGAAATGTCTGACATATCTGTTTTCCCTATAATTGTATTGTAATCCTTTTAGATTCATGTTTTTGTAATATGATATGTATAAAAAAAAAAACAGAACGTAAGGTGACTATGGCAAGTTCATGATGAGTTCTATTTGTGAAAACATAATTGAGAAAATCATTCGTAACATAACTGGCCTAGCTGCGATGACTAGTAGTAAGACATTTTTAGCCGTTTGACAAGAGTTTTTTAAAAACAACAATTTCATACAGTTAAATGCAGATGTTGTTATGAAAAAGCTTGATGTGATCTTAAACACACTACAAGAACTTTAAACCGACGGGGATGGTAAAAAGTGACACTCAATTGCATGACCTCAAGACAAAGGTATCACTAGGGAGATCGAATGTGACACGTACAAGTGACGTCGATGATGATTATTGAAATAATAAAACTAAAGATAATACATGTAATAATAGAAACAACAATAATAACAACAATAATAATAAGAGTAAGAATAATAATGACATTAATAAAAAAAAATAGAACATATGCAAATTATATACCTCTGGAAAATATATACAAAACTGTTCCTGCTTCAGAAATAGATAATGTTTAGTAACGATAGGGTATTTCAGCTGCTGAGTTTGAAAAGGTACGGTAAGCTCCAGATGATCGGTCGAAAATTACTCTCTGATAAAAAGCCTCTCAGTATTTTGACAAGACAAGGTGTCCCTGATTAGACACGAAGGAATAGCTTTGAAAAGGACAAAGTATGGATGCGTCTGGTTGAAATTTATCTCAACATCTTATTATATTCGAGAATTTACAACTGAGAAATATCAGTCCAAAGAGGGGTAAAAAGTAAAAGGTTTTTTTTTTAATCAACCGACCGACCGACCCAGGTGCTGGCACCAGAGGGCAATAGTATTTTGTTTGTATTTAGGCCCTATACCATGGCAACTTGAAAATTGAAAGGAAGAATGCATTCGGCAGGTTGAATCCCTTCTGAAACAGCCCTTAATTAAGGTGCCGTGATCTAGTGCATACGTCATCGGACTGTGGATCACATGGTTTGTAGTTTGAATCACGCCGCGGCCCTAATGTCCTTTTGCCACTGACCAGATGAGGCACGGGCTCCGGACGGCATTTAAAGCGCGTATTTACGTGCAGTATTCGAAGTTTTTTTTTAGACCTATGTTATAAAAGATAAATATTCATGATGGTATACCGTACCGTATTTGCTATGATATACGTACATATATTAAATTCTCTATTTTCTCTCATTCAAGGCTAAACACGCATTGCAAATAATCATGCAATCCTCCTCACGAACATATTTACCAACGACTTAACTCAAATGTCAATTGGCGAACAGTGATCCATGTACTCTTTACCTGTCCTTTAACCCAGAATTTGGGGCAAATCGAGGTTGGTTTTCCCTTCATAATGTTTAGATATAAAACCAGTTTTTGCGTGACACAGATCACTACAATTTGATTTCGTTATCGAATTCTGTAAGACAAACATTCCTTTTTATACATTATGTACATGCATATACACGGGGTGTCCAAAAAGTGCATGGAGGGTTAAACAACCATCCACATTAAAAGAATTTGGGTGTGATGTCGTTGAAGTTATTCAAACTTGTATTTCCCCCCAAAATAAGAGAATGATGAAATGTTATTAGTTCAACTTATTCATATTTAAAGCATTATGGCGTGAACAATGTACTGTAGAAAACAGCTTAGCATTGTTTAAAAGGAACATAACTATTATTCATTATCAGAAGATCTATGAACATTGCTTAACATGTCCTCTAAGTTTCTCCACATATTTTCATTTTATTTGATATGACCATTATGCTACTAAAGGGGTAAAGGGGTAAGATAAGTTTTTTTTTTAACCTTCAGCCCAGTTTTTTAATTTTTAATTTTTACACTTGAAACAAAATGAGGGGGGGGGGTTCCTCAGATACCCACACATAAAAAAGTTTGAGGGGGGGGTTAACCCCCAAAACCACCCCCCCCCCCCCCCCTGTGTACGCGCCTGTTGATCACTCTAAAATGCACAAAGTGAGATTAATTGTACCATGAGCCATCAATCTATAAACTGGTCTGTCGTAGCATAACCGTTAATGTTAATTTACCTTTACGCTGGAACGTATCTTTGTACTCGGCTGAAAGACATCACCTGGCAAAGAATGATAGGAGCAAAACAGTTATTGAGAGGAAAACTAACTATTAAAATAACATAATTAAAAAGCAAGGATAACGGGAATAAACCTTTGAATTTCAGTTAAAAAAAAATAGAACTATTGATTATATTTTCTCGGCCGAGTTCCGTAATGTCGCATCCATATACAAACGAACTGGGTACGAGGTCTCTTGTAATCGGCATGATTAGTGTTTGGGTTTGTAGATCTCTAGGCTAGTCGTGAAGTCTATTTTACCACCACGTACGCCATATAATAATTCCACGTTCACACCCTATGCTTTAGCAACTTTAACCTCTGATATAGTGTGCTATTAATCAACACAATAAGAGGAAAATGAACGATATTTAAGGGCGCATGTCAAAAGGTCTATGAAAATAGACTTCACACTTTTGAGATGGCATGCCTCAGGAGAATCATGGGTGTTATCAGATTTGACAGGCTAAGAAACACACACATACGAACTCAACTTGACATGGAAGAAACCATCATCGACATGCAGGCGCGCCGGAAGCAGTTTGGGAGGGGGGGAGGCAAACATTCCAGGGGGCTCACCTTCCAGGGGCAGTGACGTAATAAAAAAAAAAAACGTTCGGAAGGGGGGGGGGGGGGAGACGAAAAATCTACATCACCACCAGTCTTACAAGTTACGTGCATGTCCCGCGGAACGTTTTTCAAAGTGGAGTATTAACGATCAGGTAGAGCGTAAATTGGCGTGGGGTCCAGGGCATGAGCATCGGCAGGGGGTCAAGGGGCTTGCCCACGGAAGCTCAGCTTTTTTTAGGCATTTACTTACGGTTAAATTAGCATCCAGGGGCCGCCTTAGGGCCCTTGGTGGGGTCCAGGGGGCAAAGCCCCCGGAAGCTCAGGGGTTTTAGGTATTTAATTACGGTCAGATGAGCTTCCAGGGGCCCGCCTTAGGGACCTTGGTGGGGTCCAGGGGGCAGAAGCCCCGGAAGCTCAGGGGTTTTAGGTATTCAATAATGGTCAGATGAGCATTCCGGGGCCCGCCTTAGGGACCTTGGTGGGGTCCAGGGGGCAGAAGCCCCGGAAGCTCAGGGGTTTTAGGTATTTAATAAGGGTCGGATGAGCATCCAGGGGCCCGCCTTAGAGCCCTTTGTGGGGTCCAGGGGGCAGAGCACCCGGAAGCTTAGGGGTTTTAGGCATTTAATTACGATCACATAAGTATCCAGGGCCCGCCTTAGGGCCCTTGTTGGGGTCAAGGGGCATAACTTCCGGAAGCTCGGGGTTTTTTTTTCCTCTCGGTTTTCGCCCGGTGCCCTTAATAGAGTGCCAGGAGAGGCCGGAACGTTTACTTTGAAAAAAATTGGAGTGTTCAAAGCAGGCCTCGCGCCTGAACAGCAGAGCATGGAATATGTCGACAGGGTTGTCCCAAAAAGACTGAGATACTTTGGACATATCAACCGAATGAATCCAAAAAGATACCCCCACATCCTTCTCAACGGAAATGTAAATGGCAAACACCCAAGGGGAAGACCAGCTAAGAGATAGACAGACTGCATCAAGGCGGACTGCAACAACAGACAAGTTGACTCCCTGACTAAAGCCACTAGGCTAACCGAAGATAGGAAGGTGTGGCAAGCCGTTGTGAAACAGAAGCCATCATACATCCCAGTGATGGTGAGGAGGGCTTAAGTCAAGTAAGTCATGTCAACATTCTAGATTCGGCTTCAACCATATATTTTTATCTCAACCTGAGGGGGAAATTAGTTTTTTTAAAGATCTTTTAGCCTTTTTTAAAGATTTACCTTGTATTTCCCCACGATCCTTCTTTAAAAAAAACACTTGAAGTATTGACCTATATGAATTTCAATCATGAACATTTTGTGGGCAGCATCTCTCTTCATTACATTACAAATAGAAAGAACATCCTTCATTAACTCAATTTATATTGGTTGAATTTTTAAAAATCAGAATACTGCTCTTTCTGCAAGTAGATACACATCGTGTCAATCATTATTACAACTGTCATTAATATGAAGTATGAGCCTTCAAAATGAAGCACAGCCCAAACTAAACAACAATTTTGCATATAGACCATAAAATGATTAATGTTGGATTAATAGGAGAGACTCAATGCCCATAATAAATTGTTATACAAGCATGTATAGTGAGTGAGACAGTACATGACTGTAATTACACATACAAAAGTGTGTTAACCTTCTTTTTGTTTTGCTTAACGAGGGGGGGGGGGGGTAATGAGCACAATTTTTGTTTGTTTTACTCAACACCCCCCCCCCCCCCTCCCTCCCAACCGCTCCTTGAACAACAGGGGTGTGGTCGTTTTCGTTTATTTATTAAAAAAGGTGTTTTGTACTTCTTTTTCTGGTCAGGGGTGGGCGCCCGTGCCCCCTTGCTCCCCTGAATCCGCCACTGGTATTAGGAGAGAGTCAGTGGCCATAATAAACTGTTTATGGAAGCATATACATGTATTTTTGTGAGACAGTGCAAGTCATTACACATACAAACGTGTGTTTAACATCAACATCAAATTCTATAGAACTTTGTAGGAATTATGAATATGTCATGTATGTCCTATTATGCAAGGAAACCCGTTTACATGCTAGACTTCACTGTCAGACACTATTGAGTGACTGACTGGCTTTTTCTTCTTTGGTAATAACATACATGAAATGAGCTGTAAAGGGTACATGAGCATTTTTCTACATCAATAACCCACTTCTTGTAATGGACAAAATAAAACTGATTGAATCTTTGTGCAGCATAAAACGTGAGACCATTCGGTTCAATGGTCTGAAAATCAGACTATTACTTACTGGCTCTATAGCTCTTAAGTCAATTCGACAACTAATAATCATTATTTTCCCACTTTAAGACATTTGCAAGCCTCCCTTTTTTTAGGGAAGTTCTAAATTAGTATTATCTTTCAAATGCCGTTGGAATTTAACCTTTTCATTTTTTGGCCTGCAAATGGGACTAGACACCTTTAAGGGATAGTCGAGTTCTTGTTTCAGACCGCAAATGCCTTCAAAGGGCATGGTTATTGCTCTTATTCTCCTTTATGACATTTCTAGTACTCTTTTAGGACCTAAAATTGCTATGAAGTTAATTTAATTTAGACCCCAAAATATGTGAAATTAAGCCAATACGATCATACCAATTCAGCTCCTCTTTCAAACAAATATGGTGACCGTTGATTAATTAATTTATAATATAAACAAACGGGGTAGAAATTTAAATATATTCCAATCGTGTCGATATGCATACTCAATTTCTGTGGTCAAATTCCCCAACGCAATTAACATTGACAAATTGCAAATCAAATTACTCGTCTGGTCATAAGGATTCCAAAAATGTATAAATGGGGGCGCAATGGTAAAAAAGGTCAACGAACTTTTGACTGGTGGTCAAATTCACAGGCACAGTTAACATTGTCCGATTTTAATGATTTTATTCAACTATTCAATTTTCAAAAGTAAAAGCGCTTACCTTGACCATGAACATTCATAATGGCTGCCAAAAGGGCTACCGAAAGACTTGAATCAGGAACCTTGGCCAACAATATAACACAGTTATTTCTAAAGTGGAGATTATATGCACACTTTAAGTCGATTTTTAAGTTGTAGGACGCATTTCCCCAGTGGACTCATCTCGCCGTGATATACGCGGCGACATGCGTCAGACCCAAGACACATACATAGCCGAAGACGGACGCGTTCCGCCAACCAATTTTCGGCATTCTGTGTCTTAGGACACAGAACGCCACTCTGGCCCATGACACCGGACCGTGCCTAGGAGAGAAATTATGAATGCCTTTTGCGCTCAAAATCAATCCATAATTTAAATATGTCTTTGTGACATTTCGTACCCATTTATCATGTGGTGGATGATTTCTTATTTCTTATCTTAGTAACTCTTGTAATTGGTCTTAATTGAATCAGCCCTTTATTTTTAGCTCGGGATCCTCGACGGGCGAGTGCCGGGTTGTTCAACATTGTGTCCAAATAAACAACAATGGTTGGCATGAAACATTTCCATGCATGCATTTCAACATGTACCTGTGATTTCTCGTGCCCATTAATCATGACAGTGGTGATCTCTGATTTTAGTAATCTCTTGTAACTGGTCTTGAATGAATCCGCCCTCTATTTTAGCTCGGGATCCTCGACGGGCGCGTGCAGGGTTGCTGAACTTGTTTCCAAGTTAAAAATGGTTGGGCAGGGTAGCCACCGATGGAGATCCTGTCTAAGGCCCCTTGAAGTCATCCGTGACACTGCACGTCTTTTGTTTTCCCTACCGTAATCCCCTTAATTGCTCTCTGAGACCATACAGCTCCCTTAATGTGGCTCTAAGTCTTCCCGTTCCAGGCCCACAGCCCAGGCCAACGAGCACGGCGGCTTATGCGTTGCCGGCCCGTACTTTGGGGTGAAAAGTGGTGATGAATATATTGACAACTTTTAACCCTCGTCCAACAAATGCGCAAATATATTACACAATTTCATTTAGTTCTTTAGGGAGATAGGCCTTTGGACTACCTTCCTAGCTATATACAAATTTCGGAAATTTTTCGGAAAATGTCAATAATTAGATGAGAAAGTCATGATGATAAAAAGCTTATACATTCGCTCCAAACTCTCGATTACCTTGGTCATTTTTGCTGGTTTTGTCTTCAGTAGAGCAGGGAGGTGAGACTTTAAAGTAGAGCTATCCGAGCACGAAAAAAAAACATTTGATAACCAATAGAAAGTTACATTGGTCATATGTCGGGAATTCTGTGTTTTATAAGTATGTTATAGCTAAATACATCTTCACTGAAAACGACCTAATTTTTGCTTTGCCACGCATGTCTTCAAAGCTCGATGCCTGCATATTAATACGACCGAGTGAATAGAGAACTTCGGGAAGCAGAAGGCGTTGCGTAACATTTCGTAATATTTGGAATACCAGAGGGGAACTGTTCATTGGTAAGGACAGCTGTTGAAAGATATTATGGCTGGAGAGGGTTACATTTCTTTTTGTTAAGCCAAGTTAATCTTGAATATCTTTTCCTCGGGAATTTTTTTGGAGACGGTATCTCCACTCATTACAGCTTCCTGGTAGCCACCTTGCATGCGCCCGCCGACATTTCCATGCATTTCAATATGTACTTGGGAGTTGGTCTTTAGTTATTACTTTGTATAATCTTCCTCCAAGCAGCAGCAGTGCAGTTGCCCTTCCAATAACTTTTTAAACCTTTTTTTATATGCCATGTACTTTCTCCCTCTTTATTCTCTCTCCTAAATCTCTGTTATCTTCCTGTATTTCATCTCTTTTTCTCCCCTCTCTCTCTCCTTTTATTTCAATTACTTTCCTTTCTTTTTCCCCTTCTTTATTCCATTTCTCTCGCTAGTCTTTCAGTCTCTTCCTACTTGTTTGAAGGAGAGTGAGGCCGGCTTGGAGGTGGTGGGGGGGGGGGTCGATTTTTGAGTTACTTTACCCCGGGGCTTCATTCTCCTTTAATTCCCCTCATTCTATATTCGTCTCTATTTCTTCCTTTTTGTCTTCTTCCCTATATCCTTATGTTCTCTGTAATTTGTATTATAAGTAGGCTATGTATTATTTATTTATTCATACTTGTTATGCATTTGATATTTTGGTATGATTGTATTTATATTATAAATTTTGTATAAGTTGTGTAATTTTATGTATGATCACCTGGAAGGAAAGTTTCTCCTTTCTTTGGAAGAAGACAATAAATTCTATTCTATTCTATTCTATTCTTTTCTATTATGCCCTCACGTTGTCCACACATGGTAGGAATACTCCGTAGCGAGCGGAGATGGTGCGCATTGTGTGCATGACTTAATCCGATGGTAGGCCAGGATGATAAGCAAATAATTACCGTTGGTGCAGGTGATGGGACAAACTATCACTTCGAGGCGATCTGGATGTAGCTATCTATCCGAAGCGAAGCTGAGGAAAGATAGCGTATACATTCAGATCGCCAAGGAAGTGATAGTTTGCCATCGCCTGAAACCAAAAGGTGATTATTTGCTTTATATTCCACATTGGAAACATTTCATTTCTTCCGTCATTTTAGAGCAACAAGTCATCAATTAACAGCTAGCAAGCAGTGTACAATACGTACAGTACATGCACTGGTTACGTACGTATACGCATACGCAACGTATACAATCTTCAGTGAAAGTGCGTTGCACTGCATGTATAGATAGTACAACCAGGGATGTGTAGTACACAGTGTAACGAAATTATCTTCTCCCATCAATAATGGGTGAACACCCGGGGTGAACAACTATTTTCAATCACGTGATTTACTTTTGACCAAGCGTAGAGCAAGATTTATAGTATGTGGAATATAATATATAATAACAACATTATGTAAAGCGCTTAAAGACTCTATTTCGTATTAAGCCATACCTACATCTACAATTATCATTACCTGGTAAAATATTCAGTGTACTTTGAGATGTTAAGATTATAGCCATGCAGAATGCACATAAGAGTGCAATTGTCAGGGTGCCGCCCGTCGAAGTAGGTAATTTGCATCCATCCAACATCGTAAGCCTGGTCAGAGAAAAAAGGAAAAGGAAATTCAGTATATAACTAGAAATGCAATCGTGTCAGAACGATATGCGTGCAATGACGCCATGTTTTTACGTGTCAAACGAAAGAGCATCTTTCGGACTAGTTATGCAGTGTATGAAATAGCATTTAAAATGGCCCTCTTGACAGATTTTAAAAATTCGGCTTCGAGATGCTCTGCATTTGGTCACTTAGAATGTGCCTGTAAAATTTCAAGAAATAAAGATCGTTCTGGGGGCCAAAAGCGTGAACCCGATTTGCCCCATAGACAATGCGTGTAATGCATGGGCGAAAAACGTACAGGATCTGTATTATGACCGGACTTAATTTTTTTTCTCTCTCTCTTTATGTCTCTTTATGGGCCGTATTTGATATCATGGGAAGAGAATTTCATGGTTGTTATTGTTCACCATTCTCTTTTTTTCTATGATAATCCTATCGAAACACGTGATGTAAAATAGATTTATAGTACAAAATGGCGTCTTAAATAGCCCCCTTGTCCAATTTCAAAAATCCGGCTTTGAGGTGCCCTGCGTATTGCAACTTGGAATGTCACTGCAAAGTTTCAAGGAAAAAAAAGGATGTTTAAGGGGTGAAAAGCAGTCCGGAAAAATGACGTCATGGCCGATAAGTGTTATAATCGGGCGGAAACTCGGCGGAATTCGTATAGTGACCCTTGTTCAAATGCGATTTACTCACAATTTTCTGTGTGATCATATACCATACTTGGTATCATTCGAAAGGGCACTTCATTGCGGTCAGTTTGACACTATTGTCATCTGCGCGCAACATACTGCACGCATCAAACGCGCCATTACGTATTGCATAGTAAATTCATCATTTTTTAAGATAACTTTGCGACGAGGGCATTACAATTTACTAAACTTGGCAGACAGTTGTCACGTATATGGATACATGTGTCTTTCAAGTTTCATAGGTATAAAGATCGCCATTTTAGAGCAAGTTGAAGTTATTTCGGAATTTTCTTGAAAATGGCGAATTTGGAGGGCAATTTTCTCAAATTTGGTCAGTGATAGGGTATATAATTTTGTATATGGCTGGAAAGGCAATATCTTCAAGTTTTTAAATCAAAAAAAGGGTACGGGTCTGCCAAGCCATAATGGAGATACGGCCAAGAAAGAATTAAAGCCGATTCCCAGAATTTTAGAGGGAGCTATTTATGTTTTGCAAAGCCATTGGAGCGTGACATTTGACATGGCTATGTGCAATTATGAGATAAAGATACTGTGAGATTTAAATACAAAACGGAATTTATATGAGAAAGTTATGGCAGTTTCAGATTATTTAGGGGTCAATTTTTCAAGAATTTGAGAGATTTTTGACGGAGTCGGTTTCAGATTTGAATGTTGAGTACGAGGATTGCATTTTGAAGGGCAGGTTATGCGTCGCAGATTAAGGAACATCTCTTAGACTATCTAGAGGAATTTGTTAGAAGGTTGTAGGATCTATAGGGAAGTTGAGATAGGAAGGAAGAGAGAAAGGCCTTAAAATGGACCAGAAACGGACAAAATGGCGCATGGACGGTTATGCATGAGTGATTTCGAGAATCAAAGAATGTAGTGACTTTAATGAGATGTTAGAGACTATGCCTATGAAATTTGAAAGGAAAAGGACATGAGGAAAGCACCTAACAAGACAAGACATATTATTATTATTACGTGCAAAACGAATGGGATTTCGGACGATAAGAAGAACTAAGAATATTAATAAGAAGAATGTGAACGAAAACAAGGCAATGACGAAGGTCGTCATTGCAAAAAGAACATTTATAATGCGCACGTATCCGCCCCATTGGATACTCAAGGCACCTTCACAAATTTGGAAATTATTACCCTGGCTTTAGCTGTGTGCTGCCACTACCGCGCTCTAGCGTTTCAAGGAATTCATTCTTGCCAGGTAAATGGACATCATCTTTGCTACGATAACGTCATCATCAACGTCGTTATCATTATCATCGTCATTATCTATCAAAAGTTCTCTCAGTTTGAATTATCTTGTTGAACTTGAACTTAACTTTCACGATAGTAACTGTTGCCTTGTGCGTCACTCATTGAAATATGCGAACATGACAATGGCATATTACATAATCCGAACACCATTTATATCGGACATACAATAGGGTATTGAAATAGCTGTAAGTTGATTTTTCGAAATAGTTGCGACCGTCTTAAAGGTCCACTCTAACCCATCTAACATAGCCTTTTAAACATGAATAAACCTCTGCTTATTAATATTCCAGCCTCTGATTTTTTAGAAAATCTCTAAATTGACAAAAAAAATGATAATAACCATCCCCTTTTCACGGATCTCACGCTAGCTGGGCTATGCCCTTCGAAAAAAGGTAATACGGTCACGTGGCTTTTTTATGGGCGTGGAACTTTAGGTGGAACGTTTTCGCTAAACCCCCACCGTTACCCCAGTGATTTTCAGTGAAATGATTACGATTCCATTTCATTTCTTTTCAATTCAATTCAATTAAATCATAACAGAATGTAATATCATTTAATTCATACTAACCTATATTTCTCGATCAGACAGAACAAAATGAGCGCATACCTTTTCACTGTCTTGTATTTACAAGCTGTTAGTATCCAATGAGCCAGTTCGTAAATAGTTTCGAAACGCATGCCCTAAAATATCCACAGATCTTTTACACAATGGATACGTTCCATTTGTGCATTTTAGAATAATCACTGCTGAAGTGATGTAGGTGCTTTATAAATACCTTTTGTTCGCCTCTTGAGTAGAATACTTCCACCTGGGTATCAGATAATGTACTGTCGGTGCATAAATGAATACTAATCACATATTACTTTCGTGAGCACGATACCTGTATTCGTCTCGATGGGTTTTACAATTTGGGAACGAAATACCTTTATCTGCCCATGCGCAGATAGTATTTGCGAACTGGCTTATTAGTACGTTCTGGTTAAATGCTTTTTATTTGGAATAACATTCGATGCAACAGCTGGGGCAGCTTCTATCAGCAAAAGAGAAGGGGTTGAAGTTAGCAAACAGAATGCAGCATACGCCAAGAACACGACCTATTACACAAAATGATAACAGAAATCGGAGTTTGGATGATTTTTAGTTTTGCGCACAAGACCAATAAGCATATACGCTTATTGTTATCTACAGTGAGTCCCATAAATGTACGAAACCCCAACACAAACGGTTATTGTGAAGAACAAACAAACTATGAGCTGTAAAACGCTTTCATCTGTGTTTATTTTAGAGGCCAATCTCAGATGTTTTACCCCCTCCCCTCCCCATTTCCACCTATTCGTTTTCGAAGGTACACGCATTCACACACATTTGCCGTGGTCTTTTTATTGTACATGAAATGTATTCGACTATTTAACATTTTCTGGCCTGCATGTCTGGTTTTTCTTTGTCAATACAGACACACACACACACACAATTGATTAATAATTGTGGCGATGTGATTGCGACATATATTGGTATGTAATCTTTCGTTTTGCTTTTGTTGTTGCTGATATCTTTACTTTGAATACCTATGCAAGTAAGGACCTTTGTTTAAATGATCACACAAATTGCTCTCTCGGACTGCCAGGCCAAGTTTTAACTGCTTTGTATTTGTTCAACTATTATATGCTTAGTGCACACAGAACGTAATTAAATTATTGTCGATGTAATGAAACCAGTCTACAATTACTTTATCTTTTAATTAGTTTTTCGTCTTTTAATAGTCCGTCGCGACTGGCGACCATCTCAGTGGGCGTGGCACGCGGTTCACGAAAAACGACATTAGGAACTTTTAGATTTGCACGTCGACTTTGTGGACTGCTACGTGTGACATCCTTTTAAAGCACTGAAAGTGCCTTAAAAGGACTTTACAGTTCCTTAAAAGGGCGTCACACGTAGCAGTCCACTATATGTCGACGTGCAAATCTAAAAGTCCCTAATGATATGATTTGTTGATCAGCGGCCCTCGCTCGCTGCACTGTTTACTGTGCCGGTTGTCAAGGACGGACCAATAATAAGCGAGTTCGTAATTAGCCACTTGAGTCGTATGACGTCATCGTGCCATAAGTCACATGAACATAATCTCCAAAGCTTACTCGCCCGTTTACTCGCACGCTCTGCGTAATGTACATAGGGCTACGTGAACAATCGTGCGTTCGTCCTTCACTGTTTAGTTTTACCGACTGTTCGCCGTGCTTTCTATCTTTTTATTCATCGAAAAAATCCTACAAGAGTTGTTGAAATGGATTGGGGAGGCTTCTTCGATAGATGATATACGTTTGTGGACCATCAAATCATCAAATTTCTCATAGAGGGGGACTCGGATCACGAGGAAAAAAGCAAATTCTCGTCTGAAAGTTATGTATACAGATATCAAAGTTGTATGGATCTAAGAACTAAAAGCAAGACGTATACTCTGTTTTGTGTATTCAATGTTTATTTGACTATGCTAACCCTACATGGTACAGTAACATAAATAAGTCAGATCAAAAGAAGTTGACAATTATACAGAACAAAATGGTGAGATTCATCAACTATTCTGGTCCAAGAACTCGTGTTGGCTACAGCGAACTTTCTAAAGCTGGTTTTCTTGAAGTCGACCAAAGATCAAAACAACTCGTATTGCATCACGTGCATATAATACATCATACAAGGTCGGATCATTATATTCGATCCAACTTCGATCTTGTTACTGACTTACATGATTGTAATACAAGAAATAGCCGATTCAACTTAAATTAACTTACCAAAAAGAGTAGGTAGTATTGGAAATTCGTTTTTAATTATTACATTGCCATAAAACATTGGAATTCCCTTTCAAATGATATAATTATTCTCTTTTCAAAACTTTCAGAAATGTTGTCTAAGTCAAACAAAATGATCATCAATCTCACAAACTCGATAATAGTTTCTTATCATTACTAAAAGTGATAACAATATTGTCATCATGAAATTATCTCTTCCCATTTCTTATATTTCCGCCCATAATATCACATAACATAGACAAAGACCATTATCTTTTTACACAATGCTTACAAGACTTGTGAATAGTGCAGCTAACAGTTTAGAAATACACATTTTATGAAGAACAGGAATATACCACAATTGAATAATACAAGTTTCTTTCTGACCTTTTTAGGAAGACAATAAAGATAGCTGATGAATGGGATGCGTGGCAAAACAATGCGAGGAGCAACTCCTGGTATCCCACCTGGTGTTGTTAAATTTAGTTGTTGGGTGAGGCCACTCTCGCAGGTGGGGGTACCTAATCCGCCGAGCAGGCTACTTTTGGGTTATGTGACCATAGCAGGTAGACAAGAATTTTGAATTCGATCAGTTCGTCGTCACTGGATGCCTAATTTATTGTGCTAGTGGTGGTGGCAGAACCCATATATTTGCGATCCAGTCAGTTGATGTCACTCTCGACCTACTGTCCTCCAGACTATTTTCGTGATTTTATCAAATGTAAAGCATAAATCTTTGTTTAGTGCCATATTACAAATTATTTCATTTACCTGTTATGAATAATTGTTTTTCAATAGTCAGAATATGAAGATATGACAAACATTTGGGCTTGTCACTATGAACATGACGGACAAAGAAAGCGGACAAAATAAAAAGTTCCTCATTCTACCCTTAACAATTGCTATGGTAGACAAAGGAACATCCCTCACTGCTATTATGTAAAAATGTGTAGAACAGGTGAATATGCATGTGACACCTGTTCTACAAATGTTTACATAATAGCAGTGAAGGGATGTTCCTTTGTCTACCATAGCAATTGTTGAGGGTAGAATGAGGAACTGTATATTTTGTCCGCTTTCTTTGTCCGTCATATTCACAGTCACGGAAGCTTAAAAGTGCCACCGAGATGACGAGATAATTCCTCGTCTTCTCGACTTTTTTTGGTCCGAGAAGGCGAGAAGGTGTGATCCGGCATCTCGTCTTTTCGGCCTTTTTTAGTCCAAGAAGGCGAGAAGGCGAGATTCCAAATCTTCTTCTCGACTTCTTGGGTACGAGAAGGTGAAAAGGCGAGATTCCAAATCTCATCTTCTCGACTTCTCGGGTACGAGAAGGTGAGAAGGCGAGATACCAAATCTCGTCTTCTCGACTTCTCGGGTACGAAAAGGTGAAAAGGCGAGATTCCAAATCTCGTCTTCTCGACTTCTCGGGTACGAGAAGGTGAGAAGGCGAGATTCCAAATCTCGTCTTCTCGACTTCTTAGGTACAAGAAGGTGAGAAGGCGAGATTCCAAATCTTGTCTTCTCGACTTCTTGAGTACGAAAAGGCGAGAACGGGAAGGAAAAGGGACACGTATCATTGTTAAAAGGGTAATTATCAGAGGTAAAAAGGGGCACTTATGAGAATAAAAAAGGGGCACTAATAATAAAGGGAAATGTTCATTTGTTGAAAGAAAAGGGGAACCGATCCGGGGCATTTATCGCGAGGTGGAGCGGGGATTTATGAGAAGCCTGGCTCTTATTAAAAAGAAAAAGAGGCACATGTTAAAATAAACGGGGCAATTATCAGAGATAAAAAGGGGTAAATATGAGGAGGGGATGGGGCACTTATAAGAAGGAAAAAGAGGACTTATTAGGAAGGAAATAGTGCAAATTTCAAAATAAAAGGGGCAGTTATTGAAGATGAAAAGAGCACTTATCAGGAGGAAAAGAGGCACTTGTCAACGTAAAACGAGTACCTCTCAGAATTTAATGGGGTCATTTACCAGAGATGGAAAAGGGCTATGAGAATGAAAAGGGACTGTTTTCATAGATGAAAAGGGGCATTTATGAGGAAGGGAAGGGGCTCTTTTTTTTAAATGGGGCACGTATTAGAATGGAAAGGGGGCACATGTGAAAATACAAGGTGCGCTTATTCGAGTTAAAAAGGGGTAGTTATTAAAAGGAGAAGGAGCACTTCTTACAAAGAAAAAGGGGCACTTGTCAAAGTAAAAGGGGCTCCTCTCAAATTTGAATAGGACAATTATCAGAGGTGAAGGGGGCACTTATCAAAAGTGAAAAGGGGCACTTCTCGTATCTGAAAAAGGGCACTGTGCCAAATTGCTCCCGGGAGCGCCGCCTCTGCCCCCCTTGTCCTCTACACTCAACACTGTCTACGTATACTGTTTTTTTATCTTGAAGTTCGCGACTAGTAATGCTGATTTATTGTAATGATTCCTGACACGACATTCTGTAGCTGTAGCCTGGGCTGTGCATGCCCTCCGCATATTAATGCAATCACGAAAAATTGCAATATATAAATTTTTCGAAGAAATTTTTTGATGCCACTGGTGCGCGAGAAAATGGTGGGTATTGACCATTTGTTTTAATGGTCAATAACACCTTTTGTTTTCAGTCCAGCCAATCTAACCGTACTGAATACTCATTACCGGAGAGTGCTCGCTACTAAGAATAGTCAGAGTTTATATGTTGTACTGTGCCGTTACCATGCAAGTTAGGAAGAGCAGTTATAAATTACTGTCAATCTCATATCAAATACAATGACAACATGTTTGGGCACTTTTGGTCGGCAAGTCAACGTTGGCTGAACATTGCTCTTTAGCATGGCAGAAACCCCGGGGAGCGGGTGAATATCAAATGCATTGCACGATAATCGGTCTTTTAATAATTACTCATTTACATGGCCTATTAAAGTTAAAAATGCGTGTGATAATATTTTTTCTTCAAAAATTGAACAAACGTCAAATGAGAAACTGGAAAGCGCTTCCAAAACTTCAATCAACAACAACAAAACAACAAAAACAACAACAACATTTGTAACGCTGGGTCAATGTACAAGACACGCATGGGTCCGATCCCCCCTCCCAAGAAGAATACAAACGCGCACCACATGTCGCATTTAATACAAGAAGTCTATGTTTTGTGTTTGCTTGGCTAGCATGCTAATGTATATGGGTATATTCATTTCATTTAACTTATGTAGTCGGGTAAACAAGGTCATTTAGTTTGCACTCTCATTTAATCTAATTGCATGTCGTTACGCTAACTGCACTCGGGAATATCATATTGACACTCCGTTGGTGTACAATAATTATCCCAAGTTATCCATTATGGATGATTTTTGTATAGGTTT